CTGAAAAAAATTCGGCATGGAGAACAGCAAAGCTTATGATACACCTGTTCCCCCATCTACAAAATTAGATGCTGATCTTAAGGGAAAAGATGTTGAAGCTTCTCTTTATAGAGGAATGATAGGTTCTCTACTTTACCTAACAGCTAGTAGACCTGACATTGTGTTTTCTGTTGGTTTGTGTGCTAGGTTTCAAAGCAATCCAAAGGAATCTCACTTGAAGGCTGTTAGAAGGATACTTAGGTATCTTGTAGGAACAGCAAATCTGGGATTGTGGTACCCCAAAGGAAGTACCATTGATCTTATTGGATACACAGATGCAGATTATGCTGGTTTCTTAGTTGATAGAAAGAGCACATCAGGTATGGCACACTTTCTTGGCTCTTGTCTAATTTCATGGGGTTCTAAAAAGCAAAATTCAGTGGCCCTATCCACAGCAGAGTCTGAATATATAGCTGCAGCTTCATGCTGTTCCCAGCTACTGTGGATAAGGAACCAGCTGAAAGATTTTGGTGTTATTTATAAAAGTGTTCCTATTTTTTGTGATAACACTAGTGCAATCAATATTTCAAAGAATCCTGTGCAACACTCCAAGACAAAACACATTGAAATAAGACACCATTTTTTAAGAGACAATGTGAAAAAGGATTGGTGGAGATGTTGTTTTGTAAAAGTGAAGATCAAATTGCTGATATCTTCACAAAGCCTTTGTGTAGAGAGTCTTTTTGTAGGTTAAGAGTCCTTTTAGGTCTAGTTAGATTTTAGGTATTGGCTTCAATTACTTCCTTCAATGATTGGTTAGAATGGTATTCTCTTGTATAGTGTGTGTACATACTTATGTTGATATCTTTCAAGTGTTGTGTAGATGGTTCAAAATCTCAAAAGGATTGAGAATCATTGTTGTAAGAAACAGGTGAAATCAGGCTGAATTGCCAGAAACAGCGTGACATGGTTCTATACAGGTACCAGCAAAGGGAAACAGCAGACCAGCTCTGATATGTCATCCGATAATATCTTTTATTTTCGGAAGATTACTATAAGATATTTCCTTTTGGAAGGAATTTATCTTATTTCAGTTATTTAATCCCATATAAAAGGCAAACATATCATATGCCTTATTTATAGTTGGTTGAGATAATTATGGTAAAAGATAATTACCAAATTTTTGATTTCAATTTAAAAAAAAATAAAAAAAAAATATCCTTTACAGTTGCTTTTTATTGGCTCAACTAACTCTTTTCTTTCCTTCTTCTCTCTTTGTGCTTCATTGTTAAAAATATACACTTACCCTTTGTGCAGATCATCAATCATCATCACTCGAAATTCTCTTTCTCTCTCTTGTATGCTTTAAATTCATCATTGTTCATTCGGTTACTGTTCACTCAAGGAACCAGCTCAGTCTCAGGGGGAACATCAGAAGGAAGCTCAAATGTCCTTAAGCCCGAAGTTGGAGGAAATTCGGAAAAGTCAGAGTGAAGAGGATGAAATAGAGATTGTTGGTTACAATGAGGAGACACTCATTGTTAAGACCATGGTACGAAGTAGAGTAACTCAATCTTCATTAAAGAAGTTCACTGAGAAGGTGTAGGAGGAACAGTCCATTAATTCTCTTTCGGAAACCAAGAGAAAAAGGGTACCAGCAAGAACCTTTCACACCACAAAAGGGTGGAGGTCTTTGCTTGATTGATGTGATGCTAGTCTTGTACTCGTTATGCAACAAGGAGAACTTTATGAATAAGTGCGGATCTCTCATGATTTATAAAAAAAAAAAAAAAAAAAAAAAAAAATAGAGGAACCAGCAGGTCAGGAAGTGGTTTTGAAACAGATTGGGGAATCACAAGAATATGCTTAGTAATATAATGATTTTGGTTTAAGCAGAGCATGGTGACAAGGATGAAGAGGAATCAGATGATAATACAGAAGATGTTGCAAAGTTCGAGGAGGAGGAAGGGAACGAGAATGATGATGAGGAGTGATGCTGTTTCTGTTCTTGTTTCCTCACCCTCATGTTTATTCTAAAATAACTGATTTTGTTGGTCTGTCTACTTCTCTCCATTCCATGAACTTTCTTTTTGGATGGATTTGGGCTTCTTTGGTTGAACTTTGTTGGCTTGTATGAACTACTAACTCTGCTATGGTATGAACTGTTTGACTAATCTCTTTTTGCAGCATAATGCTTGAATGGTGGTTGATGCCATTGTATGGATAAGCACATTAACTTGTGCACATTGCTTTTACTTGTGGATACTTTTTAATGATGCCAAAAGGGGGAAGTAGTTTGAAGTTGAAGCCTAAGGTTTAGCTAGTTTAGATTGAGTCAGTTTGAGGTTTAGCTAGTTTAGATTGAGTCAGTTTGAGTCTTTTTATTTCGTATTTTCTATTTTCTGTTTAGGGGACCAGTTAGCCTAACTGACTTGTTCCAAAGAGTTTTGGGTCCTTGAAGTTTTTGACGGTTTTATTTTTGAGCATGTCCACAGGTTCAAGAACTTCAAGAGTTTGTCATCATCAAAAAGGGGGAATTTGTTGAGTCCCTTAGGTTTTGATTGATAGTTTTGAATGATGACAAACAGCTAAGGGAAACAGGTCTTTGAAAGTGTTCAATACAGTTGGGGGAACCAACTAAAATAGAACACTGTTTTCCTAGATAAGTTATTGATTATATGAGTTATCTATTGAACTAACTTATCTATATACAGGAAACAGTTAGATGATAAATGTGCTATGTACTGGTGGGGAACCAGTATGAACCGTTTCCTTGACTGCTATGCGGAAAAGCAGTCACATACTCTTTATTGTGCATTAACCATGTTACATGTGCAGTAGTTGAGTTGATTCCAAGACTTGGAGCATAGAAGCCTTTCGAAGATATTTCGAAGAAAGATTGTTTGCTCATAATAGAAGTATTCAAGGAAGATTCAAGTCTTGAAGATTACATGAAGAAAAGACGATTTATGCTTTAATATGTTATCTAGGTTTTCATGTAATATGCTCCGTAGTATGCTTGCATGTTTGGGTTATATAAGTGCTTAAAAGTATATTGAAGTATGATATGAAATCTGGTACAAAGTTGGAATAGGTTTCATAACATGTTTCAATTCAGGGAACCAGGTCAGGGAACCAGGTTCACTGTACGAAATATTCGAGCTGCCGTTTTGGAAAAAGATTTTACAAAAAGATTTTTTCGAAAAGATTATTTTGAAAATATTCTGTGCAGCTGGAAATAAGATGAAATATTCTTGGTTACCTAAAAACTAGGAGTATTTATCTTAATTGATTCTATCTTTGTGATTAAATCAAATAAGATAAATACTTTCCTAAAATTACAATATATCTTATTCTCTAAGATTGTGTGATTTAAGGAAACTAGGTTTTAGGAATCTAAGCTTATATAAACTCATCTTATTTCACATATTTCGTGTGCCTCTCCAGAAATTAAAAAGAGCAATTATTTGAGAGCATATACTTAAGCACTAATCCCATTCATCAAGTCATATACAAGAGCATTCTAGTACAAAAACATTTTCTCTTAATTAGCTTCGTAGAAGTGAGATCAAAGGAGAGTTCTTGATTCTTGTATTGAGTCTTTAACAAAGGGGTTAAAGGCTGGGTGAGTGTTTGTGAGTTCAAACACATTGGGCTTACGAGTGTAAGTCGAGAGCACACTCGGAGTAGAGTGTGGGGTAGACTGGTTCCCGGAGTAGGGAAACAGTAGAGTGTTCTTTGTCTTTGTTTTTCGGAGTAGATTAATAAAGGACTTAGGATAGGAGGACGTAGGCCTGAGTTGGCTGAACCTCGTTAAATTTGTTGTGTTCTTTATTGCTTTGTTTTATTCCGCTGCATAAGGGAACCAGCACAACTGGTTCCTTACACATAATCCGAAAAGAAGCAAAAATCGCTAACGATTACTTAACACTCAATTCACCCCCCCCCCCCTCTTGAGTGCCCATTGAACCTTCACCATCACGGACCATCGTGGAAGCCACCTTGGGGTTTTGACGGCCGTATTCTTGTATCACCTTTAACATGTCATAAAACTCGTCAAACACCTTACTATTATTACTATTAGTATTGTAAACATCCATGGTAACAAATTTTCCTTGACACTTTTTAATTCGTCTCTCAAATTTAATTGATTATTTTCTTTCAAATCAATGTTTCTCTCGTAAACTAAGACAAGCTAATAAAAGACAAGCTAATCACATATACTTATAAGTGAGGAACCGACCTAAGTTTATACACAGTAGCTTGATCATCACGGAAAAATCCAACATAAGTGCAATTTTACAAACCTGAAGTAAAGACTAAATTTAGGGGCTTTTTCCTCCAATAGTTGAAAATTATATTTCAATAACTACTTTACGCCATTAAGAATGGAATCAATGATGTATTAGCTAGGTTGTAAATAAATTACTCCATAATTTACCATGTTTTCAATTAATTATACCGAACATCTACATTAAAACTTTGCAAAGTATTAACAATTAATATGTAATTAATTAATGTGAGAGGAATGTAGTGGACTATTGAGCATTTGTATGTAGCATGGGATAAACTCAAATCAAATAAACGACTTAACAAGAACAATGGAATAGAATTAAAGGACGAATACAGTAATATATGCAACATACACTAAGGTCCAAAGTCATTGGACCAGAACAGTCAGAAATTAACAATGAAAAAAAAACAAAATTGAAACTAAACCATATAAAGATAGATCTTCAGCAAACGAGCAATCAAAAAACGAATCGCAATCAGAAATCACAATTAACATCAAAAGCATCATCCATCACTTCTCCAAGAACAAGTCCACCCATTGCTCCTCCTTACAGACCAGCTCCCAATCCCATTCCCATTCCACCACCCTCAATTAACACACCAAGAACAAAGAAGTGGAATAGCCTATAATTTGAGCAAAAATGATGCATCTATGAAGCTTGAGAAATAAACATATATGTAGTACATAAATTCAAATGCTGGAAGATAGAGCTAAACTCAGAAATTACCAAAAGCAACCATTGCTTTAGAACCCAACTCTTCAAAAAAACTCAGCTTCTGAACCCTTTTCAAGGACAGTGTGACAATACCTCTGAAACAAGAAGTAAACAAATGCTTTCCCATTAATACAATTAATCCGATTATCCAAATCCCTATAAAAACTAAAATATGTGATTCATACTACGATTTAGATATTCAAGGTCGAGGCAGAACAGGGCAAGGAATGGACACTTTGAATTTTTTATTCACAGAACAGCCCCCACAGCCACCATGCCTAACCAACTAACCCGCCTTAACCACCACATGCACCACATAAACCCACCACATGCACCACCTAAACCCACCAGATCCACCACCTTAACCTAAACACACAACCTTAACCCACCCCAAATCGAACCCACACACCAGACCGACCACCTTGACCCACCCTAAGTCCCTAACCCAAACCCACACACCAAACCGACCACCTTAACCCACCCTAACCCGAACCTACCTTAACCAACCTAACCCGAACCCACCAAACTAACCAAAATTATCACCTAAACCCACCTAATCCGAACCCAAACACCTTAAACCACCCAACTAACCCAGATCTATCACCCATCTTATTAGAAACCCAGAAAAACCCAGAAACCCTAGATCTCGATTGATAGAATCAAAACATATAACACCAATAAAATTAGGGGAAAACACGAAAAATCAAAATCGATTAATCAAAAGTGCACAATTAAAAGGAAATAATAGAATATACTTGGTTTCTGGGGTACGCCATCTTCGAATTAGGAGAGAATCGTCGTCAAATTCGTCTAAGAAAGAGGAGGTGGAAGAGCAAGGAGAAGACGCCATTGATGAGAAACAATGGAGGTTAGTGAAGGCAATAAAAATGGTGCAGAGAGAGAAAGAGAGTAGTGGTTTGATCTGGTTTTGCCATTGAGGAGAGAGTGAGAGACTGAGAGAGAGGACGAGAAGTAAGAGAAAGAAAGAAGAGGGGAAAGAGGGAGAAATAAGAAAGGTAGGGCCGCAGGAGTTAGGTTAACACAACTAATTTCCACCGGTTCAAATCGGTGGCCTTTAACACATATGCCACCGGTTTGGTTTGAACTGGTGGCAATTTAAAAAAGCCTATCCCTGCCCATTTTTTCCCCACCGGTTTTTAAAAACCAGTGGACATGGCTCGGTGCCTTTTTGTATTTTTCTACTAGTGTTACAAGTACAAATTCCCTTTAAACATGCATAAAAGGTGTGATCAAGCAATAACAATAAATATAATCAAGCAACATAATAATCATCACAATCATAATCATAATAAAAATCATCATAAAATAATCATATTTATCGTAATCATGTTAAAGCATAATAATAGCAAGATCCTAGGCATGATACTAACGAGATTAATAACAAACCCTAGCATGTCACTAAGCAATAAAAATCAAAGCTTTAACCCTAACATGATACTAACATGAATATTAGGAAAGAAAATAGGAAGCATTCTTTTAATCATACTTGATATTAGGAATTTTTAGTTGTTACCCTAAACATGATACTAGGAAGCAATAAAACATCCTAACATGATACTAGGAATCAATAAAATAATCTAAGCATGATTTCTATATCATAATATCAATTAAACCATTAAAGTACTTACTTGGATGCCTCGTATCTCTTTCTTATACGTCTAGGGCGAAGGCAACTTCGAATTACGCTAGGTGTTTCTAGATCTTGTGAATGCGGAATTTTGTATGTAAAAGTTAGAGAGAGAGAAGAGAAATCTTAAAAGCTAGAGAGAATAAGAAAAATAATTGTTGTTGGTGAAAATTGATGATTGAAAACAAAGGTTTTATGAGGCTATTTATAGAGAAAATCTGTCGGACAGATAGAAAAACCAAATCAGAGTTTCGACAAGAATAAAACATGTTAGTGCCAGACGTTGGACATTAGCGTCAGGCGCCAAGCATTAGCGCCAGGTGCTAATCCCTGTCGTCAGGCGCTAGTAAATATTTTCACGCGTTTTCTTAGTTTTTATAAAATTTAGCCGTACAGAAGGGAAAAATCGTATTTTCCTCAAAAACATTCTTTTATTCTGATTAAAACTCTAAAAAGTCAACCAAGGTCAGTTTATCAATGCTAATTGAATTAGGAATGAAAAGAACCTTATAGAATAATCTAGAAGACTAAAATCAATTCTAATTGCATTAGGAATGATAAATCCATATTAGGCCCTCCTCTAGATCATTGGGCCGCATATAAATATCAAACCGGACCCAGTTTAGTAATTTGGCCATAACTTCCTCATTATTCATCGGAATTGGGCTTATAATATATCGTTGGAAAACTCTTTTCAATCCCCATATAGCTATACCATTATTGGACCCTTTCCATGGACCAAACCAAACTGAATTGGCTGTTTTATTAAAATAGGTTTTTAAAAACAGAGAAAAAGAAAAGGATAAAAACTATCCGCAATACTAGACTTTCCACACTTTCACTTCATTCGATTATGATTCGACGCGAAAGGTACTCATCACCGGGTTTGGTTTTGGGGAGACACATATGGGTGTCTACAAGTTGTTTTCTATACAAGTTAAGGCAGTAGAGGGACTTAAGAATCTGTGACATAATCTTTGTCATTCTTGTACAGATCTGTTACATTTTGAACTGGTCAAAATTAAGACCATCCCAAATGATCAAGATTGGATACCTAGACACAAAAGAGATCACCATAAAGAAGAAGGAAGTGATCGAAGGTTTAGTCACTTCTGCGATGAAAAGGTTAGGTCCTTATAGGGTGAATGCAGGAAAGGAGAACTTTGATAATCCCTGGCCCTCAACAAGACAAGACAAGATAATTATGTGACGTGAAATGGAGAACATAAGGAATGTTAAAGGATAAGGGGATAAAAATGATAATATGAAGTTTAAGTAGAAAAGGAAATCCATTAAAAAAAAGGCAAAATCAGTCAGAAGAAGTTTAAGCAGTCAGATTCAAGCAATGGCGGTTTAATTGGATGATGATACCTTAATAAGGGTATCCACAAAACCATCCCATCACAAATTGTTCAACCTGAAGTTGACATAGTAATTGAGCAATCAATGGATGGTAAAAAGTCTACTGAAATTCCCATAGTGAAAGATTTGATGGAGAGTATCCCAAAGAAAGATCAAATTCCAGAATATCATAAAAAAGAAAGCTTGGCCTGGGTGAGGATCTGATGGTCACAGGTCAACTTGCATCTAAGTTAGTAGACTATGACTTGGAAGGTTTTGACCTGAAAGTTTCAAAGTCGGATATGAAATTTCTGTCAAAGTATTCAGAGGAGGATTGCAAGGCATATTGCAATATCGTTACTTTACCAGTGGAGTTTAGAGCTCAAGTGGTGAAGCCTAGCACCAGTTCATGGGCAGATGTGAAGTGGATCAGGCAAAAGTTACAGGTAAGTATAAACTCTATACTATATATGTTGAGTTGAATAAAGAAACATCTAGTCTCCTAGTAGAGAAACATTGACACATGATTGATCATGAGCAGCTAGTCATTCAAAATAGCTAAGAAAGTATAATGTTAAAAATTCACATAACAAACCTCTTTTTATGGCTATGAATTTCGGAGGGTATGATTGAGCTAGGAAACGTATTAGTCGATACAGGAGCTACTATAAATCGAATGCATTTGTCTGTTTTTCATAAAATTGGTGTTAAGATTAATATATCTTGTTTCAATGGTAAGTCTTATTGTACTTAAAGGTTGACATGTATTGCAATCCATGTAGGTACAGCTAAGACTATTCACGTGTTAGGCTACGAATGCCGAAATACCTCTCCTTTTATCATCTTTTTAACTTGTTAAAATCATAATTAAGTTTCAATGACTTATCAAGGGACTTTAGATCAACGATGCCATAATTGAGAGGATATCATCCTCTTTACTATTTCTTAAACCGATATCTTCTCATGATATGACATCACTTAGGATAGTCTTTACTTGTGAAAAAGTTCTACATATGCAAAGGATCAATCTAGATTCTTTAGCGCACTAAAATACTTTTTCTTATCTTGAACATTTAGTGAATCGAGGATAGTTTCGACATTCTCAAACACTACTGAAAGATTCCTTATTTTTATAGAACTTCGCAAAATGAGCCTTGTTTGATTACTAATTAGTCCCAAAACACGCTCATACATGTTTAAACTTGATTAATAACAGACCCAAATGCGTCAAATGCAATGATTGGATCCAATGGAACTTACATTGTTAAAAATCGAGCTAATCAGATAAAACAACCATCAAATTTATATGCAAGGACAATACAGATGGATAGCCCTTTCAAAGATCTTCCAACAATATATTATAATCCCAATTCTGAGTTAAAACGAAGAAGTTTGATAAAAACACTAAACCGAGCCTTATAACCGACACCCTTGCACTCAAACGACCATATATTTTGATCCACGACATATTTTAACCTAATTCAAACGGAATTGGAAATTAGACATTCAGATCTTTCCAATGATATCTCACACTCCTTAATCCAACTTTGCAATCAACAGTATGGAAATTTTAAACAAGTGTGTTCATATAAGGCAAACCGCACCGCGCGCAAGTGTTAGAGTTGCGAGCGCTTGCCGAGCGCAAGTTAAAGAGTTGCGCTGGGCATACCAGTGCGACATTGAGAGTTGCGCACGCCACTTGAAACTGCAGCACTATAACCATAAATCTAGATTCCTACGCCTATAAATAGGGGTCTTTGTTCAATCCGAAAGAGGAGGAAAGAGGAGGAAAAAATCAGAATTGTAACCCTAGCATTCTCAAAAACATAATCTCTCAAGTTCTCTTACTATCATACTACTTTTCTTCTCTTTTCCCAAATACTTTCCAACCCTAATTGATACCATTGAAATCCTTGGAGGTACGAAGAAGAAAGAAAGTCCATAAACGCATTAAACGAATATTTAACATAAAAGAAGAACGGTTAGTTTCCTGAGCACTCAAATAACTCACTTTTCTTTTATTGTTTGAATAACTTTAATTGAATAAATAGTGTTGTTTGATCACTTTAAATAAACTTTTAATTAATTTAATTCACATAGTATTCTTGTGTTAATCAAGACTAGAATTTTAATAATTAATCGATTGTTTTAATTTATCACCTAAGTCAAGGTAAACATTGTTTATATCTTGTTCTTTTCACGAATTTGAATAACAAAAGAATAACGACTTTTGTAATGTAATTCCTTCGTGATTAATGCTTATAAATAAAATCAACTAACTTAGTTTTTACGTTGCATATATTGTTTGGTGATGGAATTTTGAAAAAGGAAGAGCTAGTAGAAGTCGCACTAGGGCTAAAATAGCGATTCCTCCCTAAATGGAACGTTATTTTAGTACCCCTCGCTCCCGAACTCATTTCTGGTACACTTAGACCAATTTGGGCATGAGTAAACTTACGGTTCGTGCTAAACATCCCTTGAACTCTACTTAGGAGAAAGGCATGAACGAGGTTTATGAGTTTTCCTAAAACTCATTGGCAACTCCTACTTGTTTCTTACAAAAAAGCGTAATGATAGGATTAATTCTAATTCAAAGTCTCCTAAACAGTCAGAAATTCAAATCCTAATACACCCTAACAAGTGTAAAGTCCTAGGCTTTTAAAGGGTCATGGACATATAAGGAGAAGGATCTCCTATGATGGACACACCCTTCTTACAATTTGCATGGCTTGCCATTTGATTTTTGTTTTTAAATACTCAATATAATTTTAGGAATATTTTTGTTGTTAACAATTCATACTACCTTGGATTGTATGAGAGTTAGATTTGAAACTAGAGAATTTTGTGAAGATATGGTCTTTTAATAGAATTTTTTTTGGGGTATCTACATACTTCATTTGATTGTCTAAATCAACCAATATTAAATAATACAATTCTGATTTTTAGATGGATTTTAATACCAAGTTGTACCGGAGGGATTTATTATATTATTTGCATAAAGGTGATTTATTATCCATTTTTTAAATTAACTAG